AATTATAAATAGGACTATTATACCCCTATTTAATTAGTATATAGTTACCCTCTATATATTCTATTTCTCCCTTTTTTAATTATTATAATACCTTCTTATAGGTCTAGATAGACTCTATACTATATAAAATAACTAAATTATAATTACTATAGCTAGAGTTTAGACTATAATACCTGCCCTTACTATAGTAAAGTAAACCTAAATAGGCTATAAAAGATCCCTTCCTTACCTAAATCTATCTAGAAAGAAGATATAATTATTCTCTTAAGCCCTCCTATAATATTAAGTTAGTAGTTCTTACCTACTATAGAAACTCCTATTTAGGAGTCCTTAATATTAGATTCACTACTTAATAGGATCAGTAGTCTAATCTAGTAGTAGTTAATATAAAGAACTCTAAATACTATACCTAACTATCTAAATACTAGTAGTGTTCCTATTAGTAGGCATAGTTATATAGGGTAAGGAAATCTAAATCTATAAACTAGATAGACCTAGAAAATATACTTCTAGGTCTAATTAGGTGAATTTAAAAACTCTAGCACTAAGTATTATAATAGAGATTCTTAGATAAGGATAAGTTATATATTATTTTTATTAATTATTATACCTAAGCTAATATTCTAACTTTTATTAGAGCCTATAAAAATATTTATTCCTATTAATACTACTTTCTTAACTATAGATAAGTTCCTCTAAATTCTATTTAGTAAATATAAGGAGAAAGTAGAACTAATTCTTATAGAAGAGTAATCTATAGATATTTTTATTTTAGCTATATTTAATAAAGATATTAGTCTTATATTACTTAAAGATATTTAGAATAATTTACTTAATAATATTCTTAAAAACAACTTCTATTTAAAGAATTCTGGTAAAGTTAATATTAATAAAAAGAACTAAGTTTAGAGAATTAGTTAAAATATAGCCTTTATAATATAGATATATCTAGGGTAATAAAGTAATATAACTATAAGGAGAGATAAGGCTAAGAATAATAGCTTAAAGGATAAGAAGCTATAGAAAAGAAAGAGAGAGATAATTAAGAAGAAGAAAAAGCTAAAAACTCCTATATAGAAGTAATTTATTAAGGTTAAGAAGGAGAAGACTATATAGATTAAAATAAAGAAAAAGAAAGAGAAAGATAAGATAATTAAGAAGCCTAATATAATTTCTAGTAAAGAACTAAAATAACTACTAGATCTCTCTAATAATAAATTATCTAATAATTAAGTATTAGATGTGCCTGCTAGATATATAAGATTTAGAGAAATAAGAAGGGACTAGTATCTATTAAGTACTTAGTTCTATATTCTTATTATTAGACTCTTTAGGCTTAACCCTCTAGAGATCTAAATTAATAATTTAATATTTAACCCTCTACTCCTTACTAAATAAACTTATTTACTACTATATAATCTATAAATAATTAATACTATATTATTAGTACTAGAACCACCTAAACTTAATATATATTAATAGTAGATAGTATTAAAGGCCCTTTTATATAGAGTATTTTAGCTTTTTAATAAATAAACCCTTATTCTCATTAACTATAGTAAGAGTCTAAGTTAGACTAGGGTAATATATAAAGAGTATACTAAGCTAATACTAGTATAGGATATAGTGCCTTAAGAGCTATAAGTATCTATAAATTTATTAATTTATATATAGACCTTAAAACTAAAACTTATTAACTAACTTACTTACTATATTAAGAATTATATATATATCTATATATACTAGGTTTACTAAGGGGGCTGCCTAGTGGCTAACTATATATATTTTCTTATATATATAATACTATATAAACTAATCACTATATAGGATATGCTAAGCAAGGAATTCATTTCTTAAGGGTCTATTTTTAATAGTCTATAGTATAGATTAACTTAGTTTTACTATAGATATATTTATATTATAGAATAGATTAGATTAGTATATAATACTTAGGTAAATAGCTACCTTATAAGTATCCTCTATATTTAGATTTCTTTATTTTCTTAAGGACACATAGCCCTACCACATCTAAATAATATATTTAGTAATAATAATAATAAGGCTCTATTAATAGTAAGGTACCTCTAAGAAATCTAGCCCTAAACTTACCTAAAATATAAAAAATCTATATTATCTAGAGATTATAGGTTTAACCCCCCCCCCTCACTATAGAGAAAATCTTTTTCTATTCTAAACTTAGGTCCTTAGCACTAAGACCTAACTCCTAGATACCTTAGGTACTATATAAAAAAGTATAGATATCTAAGTACCCCTAAGGGTATTATATTAGTATATAGTTTTACTATAAGTGTATAATATATATAGTAGTAATAAGGATTTATTTAATCATCCACCATGTACCTAGATATCTACCAGGCTTAGCCAACTAGGCCATGTGGTATTTAGTTAAGAATTAAAGCTTTTTAATTATATATCTACTGCCTAGTATACTGCTTCACTCCATAATCTTAGGCCTTAGGCCTCAGGCAGTTGCAATAGTATATTATTATTATCTATACTATGATAATGATTACTAACTAGGTGGTGTATGGCCGCTCAGGGACCTGCATGGTGAGAGGTATCAATAGAAAAAAAAAGTTTTGGCTGGTTTTGTACATTCAGTCCGCCGTAGTGTTCTTTTCATATGTCCTGAGTCTGAGTCTGTGTCCTTGTCCGTGTCTGTGTCCTTATCCGTACCCGTGGCCGAACATCGCGACTTGTTCCAGGCCTACCTTGTTCAGTCATTCTAGGGCTTACTGACTCAGGCAGCTCAATTATTAACTTCAGCCTCAAAATGCAGCCAAGCCAACAAATCGCTTTGCTTTGGCTTTTCATTCAGAAAATAAGGGTCTAAATTTAGTCCTTTCACAGTTGATGCCCATCGTGCAGCAAATCATGTACTAGAACCTATTGCCAATGCCCCAGTGCTCACCACATTTACGGTGATGATGCTAAATTGTTGTTGATGTGTTGACGGCAGTGAGAACTGTTGATGCTAACGAGCTAGAAACGCGTTGAGAAAATGGCTTAGCAATTGCAGTCAAGCTGTTGAGCAGGCACCGAAGTAACTGGCACCTACTTATATCGCATCAAACACAGGGACTTGCCACTATCATTGATCTTTACTCTCACATCTTCCATCTATCTTGCTTATTATTTGCCTCGAGCATATTTTGAAAGGATCCCATCATGGTTAGCAACAGTACAGACCCATCGGACTACTGTACGCTGGATACTTGTCCATTGAGTCTTGCCAATTTTGACTATGTTCCCAACCTGGCCAGTAATGTTCTCTATCTGGCCCTTTTTGGTACGATGTTGGTGGCCAATCTGGGACTTGGGATCTATTACCGTACTTGGGGATACCTAGTAGGAATGATCGGTGGTCTTGCTCTTGAAGTCATCGGTTATGTCGGAAGAGTCCAGCTTCACTACAATCCATTTCCATTCGATCCATTCCTTGAGTGAGTTTCTATCTATCACCTTTTCCAAAGACCCCAGAAAGATGAGCTGACTTCCATTGTCTAGGTATCTAATCTGCCTCACGATTGGACCTGCCTTCTTGAGTGCCGCTATCTACATCTGCCTCGGACATATCGTCGTCGTCTACGGCGAGGATATCTCCCGTCTCAAACCAAGAACCTACACCATTATCTTCGTTGTTTGCGATTTCCTCTCTCTTGTGCTCCAAGCTGCTGGAGGAGCCATTACCTCGACTGCGGATCATGATCAGCAAGACCTGCGTCAGACGGGGATTAACATCATGATAGCGGGTCTTGCCAGTCAAGTGGCATCTCTGGGAGTTTTCCTCTGTCTCTGCGCCGATTTTGCCTGGCGCGTGTACAAGAACCCGGACAAACTTAACGAATCGATGTACCATATTCGCAAGACGCTCAAGTGGAAGGCTTTCTTGATCGGTACGCTGTTTTTCTCCATGTTTCGTCCCTCTACAAAAATCTGACAACTTTAGGGCTCACTGTCGCCACATTCGCGATATTTGTCCGCTCCATCTTCCGAGTGGCCGAACTGCGAGAGGGCTTCAACGGTCCCTTGGCGAATGACGAAGTGACATTCATGATACTCGAGGGCGCCATGATGGTTATTGCTACCCTTTGCTTGACTGTTTTGCACCCAGGATACTGCTTTGGTGGATACTGGGATCAGACCAGCTGGAAGTCCATCAAGCAATCCAGTCAATTGAGCTTGAATGAACTGAAGGCACGGAACTCACGGGCTTGACATGCTTAAGAAATATTGATGGCTATTATTACAGCAAACATATTCAAGGCAGGTATATGGGTGGAATAGAGAATGGGCTAGATAGAGAAGGAATTGGTTGATGTCCCACGTTTAATTTTATAGTTACATTCTCTGAGTAGCTCCTAGGCCATTTTTGGTGCAGTGCCCCTATAGGTGCTGGACTCTGATCCTGATTCTTGAGAGCTCGTTTTCCTAGCCCTCCTAGTCCACATATTCTGCCGAATCTTACTTCGGCTGTCTTCAGCTGTACGGTCTTGTCTCTCCCGCTTTGTTTGAAGACGGGTAGATAGCCCCTTCGTATTTCTTCTTTATTCTGCTTTTGTGAAATATTTTATCGTCGATCAGCCATACTCAAGTGAGTGGATAGAGACAAAAAATAAATATGTTTTCCATAAATGCTTCCTGTACCCGAACTAGCCAATCAGGTTTCCATTCCACCTGGGGTGATTATGTTGTGATTGGCAGCCACCCTTACCCCTCGTTCTTCGCATCATTGGATTGTTCTCCTAACTGGTGTTGTCTCATCAGCTTGCCGGGCCGAGGTATTGCTTACCTTTGATCTGGTGGAGAATGGCAAGTACCTAGACTTACGTTGGACGCTGCTCGCGTTGAGACATTCAGAACCGCCGAACGCCAGCGATATAAATATATTGAGTACTTCCCATGCGACTCGCTAGTCCTTTCCTAAACCCACCACGAATACTACTAGAGAATCTTGAACTATTCCAATATCTTCCGAAATGGCCCCACAAAACGCCCTAGCCGATTGGCAGCACAAAGTCGCCCAAAAGCAACAAGAATGTCTGCAAAAGATTCCTGCTGAATGGAAGATCCCCGAAAGCCTCCTCTCTTCCCTACGGCTACCACTAGCCGAGAACAAAAATGACCTGATTCAAGGTGATGCTGTCCGCAAATCCGGTATCCTAAGCGAGCGAGAACTGCAAATTACAGAGCAATACACGGCGTCTGGCCTTTTGTCGGCATTGGCAGAGGGAAGACTGACCTCGCTCGAAGTGACATTGGCATTTTCCAAGCGAGCTGCAGTGGCGCAGCAATTGGTATGAATGTTCCCGTCGCTATATTGCAAATCCTCATGTGAAATAGGTAAACTGTCTCACGGAGACTATGTTCCCCGAAGCCCAAGAGCGAGCCAAGTATCTAGATGACCTCAAGGCGCAGGGAAAATCCGCGGGACCATTGCATGGCCTCCCGATCAGCATCAAGGACCTTTTCCACGTCAAGGGAACGCATGCGTCTATTGGAATGATTTCCTTTTTGGACGAGAGATCGACCGACAACTCGCCTTTGGTTGATATTCTGCTAAGCCTAGGAGCCGTTATCTATGTCAAGACGAATATTCCTCAAACGATGATGGTACATATACCTCATTGATTCCAATGCGTAATTGCTGACACTTGCCTTCCATAGACTGCTGACTCGCACAATAATGTCTTTGGTCGTACCCTGAATCCCCACAACACTCTCTTAGGACCCGGTGGATCCAGCGGAGGTGAAGGCGCTCTCATCGCCATGAGAGGTTCCTCCCTAGGCGTCGGAACCGATATTGGAGGTAAGTTACTTCCCCGTTAGCGGAAAGTAACTAACAAAGCCAGGATCAATCCGTATTCCCGCTCTATGCTGCGGCACGTACGGCTTCCGGCCCAGTGCGTCTCGTATCCCAAACGGCGGCGGGCGCAGTTGTAGCACCCCTGGCATGAAGTTCATCCTGTCCTGTGCAGGGCCACTAGCTCTGGATATGGATGCAATTGAGGTCTTTCTGAAGACTGTCATAGATGCGAGACCCGGTCTGTACGATTCCTCGGTCATCGATGTGCCCTGGAGAAAGGCGACTGTCAGACATCCCCTGAGAATTGGCGTCGTACCCCCAGACTCTATCTTCCCTTTGCACCCACCAGTGCGAAGAACCTTGGCGGAGGCAGCCAGTTTACTGAAAGCGCAAGGTCATCAAATCATAGAGCTGTCGGCCGAGGAATGTAAGGTAATGGAGATCAACGAAGTCGCATGGAATATCTTTACTCTCGACAGTGGAGCTATGGAGCACTTACAGGCGGCCGGTGAGCCACCTGTGCCTGCTCTCGTTCACATCCAGCGCCAGGTGGAGATACTCAAGCAGGCAGGGAAAACTTCTCTCCCTGATTTCAGCCATCTAGACCGGCTCGGGAAACTCGCTGCTCTCAACGCCAAAAGAGCCGATCTCCGAGAGACCTGGAGGAAGATGTGGAACAGCCACGATCTGGATATTTGTCTCGCGCCACCGGCTCAAAACACGGCTGTTCCGCATGATATGTTTGGACTCGCACCGTACACGACTTTCCTAAACTGTCTTGATGTAAGCTAATCTTTCGAAACTTGGAAGCTTCATCTAACATCTTGTAGTATCCTTCGTGCATCATTCCTTTCGGGCAGGTCAACGAGATGGATGCTCAAGAGGCGTTTGAGCTTGCTCCGGGCCAGGCTGGACCGACTTGTGAGTACTTTTGCTGATCTACGGGGCTATCGTTCTCACTGACAGTTCGCATTTAGACAGCTTCGCGCAGCTGGAAGGCGCACCATGTTCTATTCAGGTCTTCACTACCACGATGAGAGATGAAGAATGTTTGGAAATGGCAAAGATGATAGACAAGTGTCTGAAAAGCAAGGCATAGGGGACCTAAAGTTATCCCGGTGCAAACTGGCAGGCATTCTCCACCACCGCAGTGAAATACAAGCATTATGCCTCCTGGCAACCTACTATTCATTGGGCCTAGGCGATCACTAGGGATCGACGTACTAGAGGTACATGTGATTGATCATATTTGCATTCCAACTGCTATACATCAAGCTGCATTAGAGTTAGAGTGTACTCAATTATTGAAAGCCTATCAAAGAAGCAATATGATTGATGTCGCGTTGTCTTACCACAGCTTCTGCAGCGTGATATCTCATGACATGTTGTCGCATCAAATCTGGAAAGTTCCACAGAGCAAATGTTCAAATGTACATGATCGACACCAATAGAAAGGCGAGCCCGTATGCAAGGGGTACCATAATCATCATCCCTTTCAACTATCCAGTGTCTTCAAAAGGTCCAGACATCCAATCCCTCAACTTCAACTCCTGCAATTTCAAGTCCAAGGTCACTATCCGCTATCCGCTGTCCAGATTCGCGCCTCCCTCCAAAATGGTTGCCCTCAACTCCACAGTCGAAACACAAGAATCCGCCCTATTCACAGGTACGCATTCCTCGCACCACTCCCTCGCAACAACAATACTTACAGGATAGGCGCCATCCTCACCACCACAAAATCCAAAAGCGGCACGTACCACGTCCGCCAGAACAAACAATCCTCGTCGCTGAACCTCTTCGGCAGACCACCAAAAAACGAGTGGGCTTCCTTCAACACCACCATCGGAACCATCAATGTATTTTGTGGCCCCCCTGACTATGGTCAAATTACCCAGCTAATAAACACCAGGTCACCGGGACAATCAACCACCTCAGCTTCGACACGGTCATGGAAGTGAGTATTGCAGGTCTCTGCGTCGGGGCGTTCACGGGGAACCCGCAGTTCTCGTTCAAGGTCGATGTTGATCTGGAGTGCGCGAATGGAGAGCTCCAGCTCACGGCTGTGGGGGATGATATCTGGCTCAAGGTTGATATGGACTTGGTGCAGGTCGGGAAAGATAAAAAGGCAGAGCGGGTGAAGCTATCCGAGTCGGTTTGTGTGAAGAGTCTGCCGCAGGAGTTGTGTGAGCCATGGATGCCGATGCGGTAGGATATAGGCTGGGTATGAATGAGAATGACCTCTTTGGCTATGTCAGGAGGTATGAGCATGGAGTACAGGGATATAAATAAAGTTCATATTCGTGGGCATTTGTCGAGACGAATTTAATTTCTAATAATGGCTTAGACGTGAAATGGGATGCATGTTATATTTCTAGATTGCTTCGATGACCTGACAAGCAACTGTGTCATGGAATTTCTTCGCAGTAGCTTTATCAGAACGACTCTCTATGCTGCGGCAACTTCGTCAAACTTTGCGAGACTCAGACTAAATACCTCGCAATCACTCATTGGTGCACGATTTGTGGTGGTCGACGATAGTCGTGGTCCCAGGCGTGATTATTCCGTAAATAATAATAAGAACCCGTCACGACTCGATCATAACAAACCCTCATCCAGCCCACATCCAGCAGAGTACAGCCTTCAAGTGGCTCCTCGTCGTCTCAATCCTTTCGTCCCCATCCCACCCCACTGCGAATAAGGCTCCCAGCTCGCATCAATGATGTTGACAAATCCCTCTTTGCTGACCGTATGTTCCTCTGGAGGCGGCGCTTTCCGAATAATGGAATCCAAGCTCTCGTCAGTGACCTGGATACAGTACCGGTAGCGCTGAGCGTTGCTTGGACCGGTGCCTTGCTCTTCCTGAGGCGCTGTAGCAGCCCATTTCTTGAAGTGCTCATGCACAAAGGATGCGGTTGCGCCGTCAAAGGTGGTTTGGTCGTCGAATATGGTAAGAGCAAGACGGTCCATCATGTCTAGACCATTGTAAATTTCATGGTTTTCTCGGTGTGGACACCGATGCATCTCATAAACTCATCCCAACCAGAGTCCCTTTTGTACGTGCACCAGTACATCACGAATCCCCAAATACGATGGCAGTCTTCTCCAGGTCTCCTTCAACGCAGTCGGCCAAGCTGGAACGCCTCGTGAGGTGCGGAGTACGTGGAGATGGGTCATTTCGCTTCCGTATTAGCGCAGCCATTTTTAGCTTCTCTGTGGTTGAAAGCCTCCTCATAACTTGTCTTGAAGCTGGTCTGAAGAAGAACTCAAGCGAAGAGCGTGCGAGCATGGGAGGATTCTTCAGGCCGATAGCTTTAGAGAAGCTGCTCCTAGCTGGAGTATAGTGAAACACCATCTCTGCGACCATCTAAGCTGTATCTTTGGGCAGTTTGGGAAGTCTCATAGTCGATGAATCACATAATTGCTTGCTTTGATGTGTTGCAATGTTGAAATAATCTTAGTGCAGGGGATACAACTCCCAAATTAGGATTAGTGGACTTTGGTCTTTGGTAGAGCCATTGCCAGTTGACGATGGGATGTGAACCTGGTGCAGAGTAGATAGAGGTAGCTCCATGACTTCTTACATCGAGACGAATCTTAATGTGGAAGAATAACAACTGCGAATCTCTTGATGCATTATGTACTTTAAGACAGTGTGTGTAGAAGTGCTCTGTAGAGAGGTGCTTACATGGGATACCATAAAACTTAATAGCTTAACTTCCATTGTCAAGAAGATCTGCCAATATTTTGTGGGGCAGTATCTCAATGTGCTCATGCGCTAGTATGTATAGAGTATAGACAATATATAGTGTCCCCCACTTCTGGGTGACGTCACTGATGCCAGTGGCGACTCAGAAGCATATTTGGAATTATCACCCCGTATGGTTTGTGATCATTGACTCCACCCAGGCTCAACAATGAAATGAATCCAAAAGAGAGTCAAAAGCCGTCTACAGAAGTAAGTTTGACCAGTCCCACATCTGCACAGTTTAATTCACTTCTTTATCTACTTTAGCCGCTCTCAGAGCGCGAAAAGCATCTCGTCAGCACTTATGGGAAGTTACCTCACAGAGGGCTGCTAGGCCAAGGGTCTAAGGTACTTGGTACTTCTTGGATAATGACCATACAAGAGAATGAGAATGCCTGACGGTCAAAGCATCGGACCTACTTCGACTCTGGTGACTATGCGCTTGCTGCAGCTCATAAAGCGACGGATGAAGGGACTATCCAAACTGGAACAGCCCATCCATTGCGGGAGAGCATTCCACATCCCTATGCGCCTGTCCCGAGCTCTGGTAATATCGCTGAAGATGCCAACAAGGACTTGTGTAGGAGGAGTTCAAGTCCTGAATATGGGAAAGTTGAACTCGATGTTTAAATGGCCAATATGCCTCATGTTTCCCTGGAGACTGGTCTCGTTGGAAATTGCCGACTAAGGTGGGAGGTAGGAGTTTTTAAGCCATAGATGGTCTTGTGCAGAACCATCGCCATATGGCTATTTTCCAAGTCCGACTTACAAAGCGACTCTCAGACCTGTCCTTTAATGAGTATGTGATAAGGATGGTCTGTAGCATGTTCGGCAGTTAAGATTAGCATGTCCTAGCTCAAAATTTGATTCAAGCAGGAGTGAAATTTATGGATGGCACTTTTAATATATCCTTCAAAGCCACTTATTATAAAGCCGGAAATTCCACGCCAATGGAGCATATGGCCGTTCTCGACTACCCTTGATAGCGCTTAGCTGACCCAGTCTGCCTTGCGCTCCTTGTTGAATGTCCAGCTACGAATCATTGCACGCTTTCCAAAACCTCGTGAGCTTGCAAGGATACCGCAACCGTCGTTTAGCTGAGGACTGTAAAAGTCTAAACCGCGGAGCCACCAAAGGATCAGAAGAGTATGCGTAAGTCGATTAGCGTGTAGGGCATCCTAACGGTTCGGCAAGCGAAATGACTTGACTTTAATCGACCATTCTAGATTTGAGCTCACCTGATACTCTACACTTCTAATCTGAGTAGAGAGGTATGTGGAGTTTCTGTAACTGTTTTTTGGTAGTCCCGTCATGCATCATCGCGCGTCATCAGACACAACATCTAGACTGGCCACCGAGGCTTTAAATATCCCTACACTGCTATTGGAACCTGAGCCAAGTAATACTTAGATGTAGCACTCCACGCAATTCTACCTTACTATTAACACATTGACCAACTCTCGAGTGCCTTTTCGGTATGCCTATTGACGATTACGGTGTTTGGAAGGCACATCCTGTGCACTACGTAGTCGAACATCAGGAAGACGACCCACGGTCCCCGCATCTCTCATTGTATTATAACGACAGTGGGCAATATAAGGAGGGCACTGAGGGCAACCTTCGCCGGACGGGGAAGGAAATTCCTGGGCTTTTCCGAGCTGCAATCAATATCAAATCCGGAGACAAGAAGGACTCTCGCCTCGTGTATTGGGTGGATCATGATTTCAACCAGCATCCCATCATTGACCGGCTCAGTGTTCTAGAGCCAGGATTCCATCTACTCGAAGATACGAAACCAAGCCCTGATGGTCCAAGGATTGACTTTATCCGGAGTAACTTGTTCAATGTTAACAGCGGCCGGGTTCTGCCACATGACGTTGAAGGGCCTGATAACGATATTATTGACGTTCTGGAACCTGAAGTCCGTCAGGCGATTGAACACCAAGCTGAAGTATATGTATTTGGTTCGCGTTTTAACACAAAAGATGGAATCCACGATGTCCATATGAACCAGGGCAACAAAGGAAGCTGGAAGGAGGATGATGGCATCTTTCAAGACGGAGCTCTCTTAATTCATTTCACGAATCCTGACCGATGGGTTGGCGTATTCCTCGGCTTCGCATCCCAAGCAGCCCACACCGATGATCGGACTGGACATGCCATATCATCCGAAACTTGGAGTGACTATCTAAGCGACCAAAGAGGGCATCCTGGTCTCATTGAGAATTCAGTGGCCATCAAAGAGGCAAACTTCGAATCTCTTGCGGGTGGCCCAAAGGGACGCCGAGAATCTGTTACTCTCACCAACCTCACGAGCAAACCGCTCTCCCTCTCGACGTGGCAGATTCATAACTCAGCTGGTCAAATCCAGGTTTTACCCCCTAATGCAGCATTGGACGCAATGGCAACAAAAGCTTTCGAGATCCCCCATTGTCATCTTTCCACTCATGGCGACACCATCACTCTTGTGAATGAATACGGGCTCAAAGTGGACGGCGTAAGCTACAGCGCCGGACAGGCAAAACACGACGGCCAGCCAATTGTTTTTGCTCATTGAGACTCGACAGAGGAACTGTTGAAGCCTGTGTCTTTATGACTTACATGGAATGGGGGCAACAGGATCCAAGATACACAAAAGTCATTTGAAGTTCATTATTAGTCTGTACTTAATCCAACATTTGACTGAGCGGTACGCACTAAGGCCGATCAGCAGATTGTCCTTGTCTAATCGGATCTGATATACTATGCATAAACTTGTTCAATGACTGCCTATATGACCAGCGACTAGTAATCTATCCATCTGTCATCCTTATACTTCTGTTTGTGGCCAGCTTGGTAGCCTTGAAGGACCCATCTCGACGCCCATTCTTGAAATAACCCTCGAACCTGTACTCCCTGGTGGTGACCGTTCCGAAGCCATATCGCAGCGAGCCCTGATTGGCTCCAATTGCTTAAAGGGAGCATCAGCCTGCTAACTTCATTTGTATAAACACATAAAATAGTTACTCTATGGCTCAGAGCTTCACCTATAATATAGACTTCTAAGGATTAACATAATCATAGTATAATACGATCATAATAGTTCGGCTCCCTGATCTATACTTCAGATATAGATAACCCTTTAGATTCTGTCTGTATGGAATGTATCCTGTGCCCTATTATATGGGTCCAAATTCGGGCACCTCGCGGTGAAATTACCTCAAGTACTACTGTATATCCATATTTCCAACTTCTGTCCTGAACATTTCTATATTGCTTACTCTTGCAAATACTACGAAATAAGTCAATGCACTTGGCATTATTTTATGATTTATTAAATATAAGATATTCCCATAGTGATTTTAAAGCAACCCTTAGCTGCTAAGCATATAGATATTAGGATAGAAAACATAGAAGGGAGCTGGTATATAAATTAAGTAAAAATCTACTAAATATATAGATTAATTAGTACTTAGATTAACCTTTCTCCTTAAGTCCTAATCAAAATATTATCTATTACTATTTTTAGTCTTAGGGCTATAGGCACAGCCTTAGCCTCTTAGTTCCTTAAAGAGAAGTACAAAGTCTCTATATGGAACTGATTACTAGAAAAAGCAAGCCCTTTACTTAATAAAGGTGCAACACTTTCCCATACAGCAGTAGATAGCATTAATACAAGTAATCTAATCATCATCTGCCTCCTTAACAATGCAGCTGTACAAGCAACTATTAATGGTGCTCTTGGTCACCTCCATGGCAAGACAATCATCAACCTCACCAACGGAACACCCGACCAAGCTCGGAAACTGTCAGACCTACTCATCAGTCACGGTGCTCAATATGTCCACGGCGGGATCATGGCCACCCCTTCCTTGATCGGTTCGCCTCATGCTCTTGTCCTGTACAGTGGGTCACCGGATGCATTCAAGGCCGCCGAGGCCGATCTCTCAGTGCTAGCCAAGTGCGTATTCCTCGGTGAGGATGCGGGCTCCGCGTCACTGCATGACCTTGCCCTTCTCAGCGGCATGTACGGTCTCTTCTCGGGCTTCCTGCATGCAACCGCGCTTGTGAGGTCGAGCACTCCCGCGGTCAAGTTCGTGGACCTCCTGGTTCCCTGGCTGGGGGCAGTGATCAAATACACTAAAGGGATGGCAAAGCAGATCGATGAGGGAAAGTATGCGAGCGAAGGATCGAATCTTGGCATGCAATTGGTTGGTATTCAGAATATTATCGATGCCGGTGCGGCCCAGCATGTCTCTGCGGATTTTATTCGTCCGATGAAGGAATTTATGGAGAAGGCAGTAGCGGCTGGTCATGGTGGTGATGATATCTCTTCTTTGATTAATTTTGTGAAGTCAACATGACTTACGCCTGTATATTAGATTTTTGAGCTTAGAGATAAATGGGCTATACGCTTTGTCATTGCGGCCTGTAGATCTCTGATTTGTGGTAGTTATAAGAGCATTTAGCTGGGTAGGATCACTGTGGAGTGAACAAAATTTGACTTGATTCAGACTTTAATAACAAATATCACTGATTAGAACCAAAGAAACACTAGAGTTTAAAAAGAAAAAACAGACTATAACTTTCTCAACCTTTTCATGCCATCGGACACGTGTACTAGTCCAGACCGGAGTCATGCAAACACAAACCTAAGCCTTGGTGTTCTTTTCAACATTATAGTTGATCATCTTCACCATAATCTTTCCCTTGTCACTATTAATCAAGAACGAATCTATACCGTCTCTCACATGGATGTCATAGGCATCCTGGTAACTCCAACGCTCCGTGACCCATCCCCCATCTTCATCCACCACGGTGCCCTCGATGGTATAAGCAGTGGTAGGCAACTTACTATTAAGCAGCCTAGCCGACTCCTTGATGCCCTCATGTCCAGTGAAGAATTCGTTGAAAGTGCCCATCAGCGACAGATGCAGGGAGCGGGAGTAGTTCCGCTTGATGTCCAGTGGAACATCACCGATATAACGCAGCAAGATATGCTCCCAGTAGATATCCGAGACAGCGCGATTCTCCTCAGGAGGGAGGTCACCGGAAATGAGATACTCCAGGACTTCCTCGCTAGGCTTGCTCTTCGGATCCTTGACATTGTCCGAGATCTCTTTGAACTGCTCCCGGAGCCATTTCTCGCCTTGAGGCAGACGCGGGTCCGTCACGCTGAGCTCGGGGTACTTCTCAATCAGCATCTCCGCAATGTCGTAGTGACCGTTGTCAAGGAGGAGCTTGAAGATGGTGCAGCCTTCCTTATCACGGGCTGTGGGGCTCGCCCCATTCTCAAGGAGCTGCATCATGGCGGCTTCCTGGCCGGCTATGGCTGCCGCAAGGAGTGGGGTGACGCCGTCGTAGGATTCATTGACGTCGGCACCGAGATAGATCAGGAACCTGATGATATCGACGTTACCCTTGCGGGCCGCATTCACGAGAAGGCCGCAGGAACTGGTGGTGGTCACCTTGGTGCCGTTCTCAACCGAGCTGATAGACCTCGGGGAGGGAATTTGGCGGCTGATAAGGGCAGGCATTTTGCAGGTAAGTTTCGATAATGGAAAATTGGAATAGTTGATAGAGTGACTTGTGGATATGTCTCTGATGGTCGGTTATAGCAGTCTCATTTCGACGAGTTTTGCCTCTTACTTATAGGTTTGCTTCTTTCTACTGGGATAGAAATGCCCCGGATCTTGGAAGAGCACGAACGCATCGTTGATGCAATGGACTCCCAGTCCACGGTCAGTCCATTTGTTCTAGACAACGACGAAGGAGACTCAAATTTCCATGATCACAGTCTATGAAGTCAGCACTGAGGATGAGTTTACAAGCTCGCAGTGGCAATGGTGAAAGTCCTTGATGCTTTCAGAAGAGCGCTGTTGCAGTCTTAGAGTCAATTACCAGCTGAATAATACTTATGAGCTGTAGTACCAGTTGAGAGTGCCTTTAGGGTTGCACTCAAGCGTGCAGAAGATCATGGCTGGCTGAGTTTCAGACTAGGTCCACTGGATTACGAACTAATTCCAGACACTCCTGTTGAAAACGGAAGTGGTATTGAGGTCAACGGTCGAGACCTCATGGAGAATATCCCTATCACAAGCCTCTGGTCCTCGATCTCATCGTCCAGCGCACCTGTTAACGCATTTCTCCTCGTTTGAACGTTGCATGACCCCGATGGGGCGTCATATATCAGGGCTACATCACGACTTAACTCCACAGTATCTCCTCATGGAGACCCTCTCAGCCTTCCTCTATTCTGCTTCCGGCCAACGAAGCTGTCGATAATGGTCTACGCAATTGAGTGTAGGTGTTGAGGTCTTCGTGTAATTGACCCTTTTGACAAGGCTTTGGTGCCGCACTTCCTTCGTCTCAAGCCTTGACTAGACCACACTGGAGCTTTCCTCAGGATAGGCAACCGGCGTAAAACCGGCTGTATTGTTTAGGGTTGATCGTCTCTACTGGCAAAGGATCAGAGTTAATGACTCACTACTCAACGCAAAAGCCAGGCTGGACGCACTATAGGTCTCTATCCAGTCCGCGGGATCTTTAACACATGACGGACAATACAGACCTCTTCTTAGGCTGGTAGGTTCGGTATGCCTATGAGCGTTTACAGAGTGGATTCCGTCGTTGGTAAAGGAATGGTAGAGTATATCGTTCTTGAGGCTGACCATTCTATGCACTATCCATTCAGGTGATGCCTCGCGATACCCGCTTTTCTGGTCGAGAATCTTGTACTAGACGCATTATCCATGTTTTATAGTTCCGAAAGCTTTTCAAGCTCGTGTTGGACCAGTTTTCAGTTAAATCAAGAGGTGGAAGGGAGTCCCGACGCTGTGGGATAGTCTCTCATAGGGAATGGAAACCAAGAAGAAAAAGGAGCACGGTAACAGCAAATGCTGATGAAATACAAAAGACAAAAAGTAATGCATCATCCGTGAATCGAACACGGGCCTCGTCGATGGCAACGACGAATTCTACCACTAGACCAATGATGCTACCAATTGAGCTATTTGATTGGCTGTAACTCCTGACGTTTTAGAATTCAAGAGCATGGTCATAGCCTTTTTCTCGGATGTCCTAATGGATATTGAAGACGTTGCACCAATTTGAATATAGTGAGATCGATAAACAGAGGATTTACTACCAATCGACTGTGATCCCGCTGCAGGCCTTCCGACTATCTGCATGTTATTGTAGGGAAGTATGCACAAGCAGTGGTTTTGCATGGTTGTATATATATAGTTCAGGAGATCCGCGTAACTCTGGACTGCTGAGGAGTCGTTCGCACCTTCCCAGAAGGAGAATTCAAAAGCAAAATGTTTGAACCTCGATTTTGATAAGAAAGCATGAACAACGTGATTATCGAGTTGCCCAGAAAGGAATATGGTGGTGCTTACTCGATTGTGAGCCAATCACAGCCGGCCGTAAGATCAAGGTTACGGGTATTAAAATAGAGTATTTTCAGCGGGGTACACCGGCGCTGACAGACTGCTTGACATTCATGATTCTATCCATCTCCAACATAATCACGCTTCTATGAACAAATACATCTAGTACTGACCTGCTGAATTCTGTATAAAACCTGTTGTTGCCTCTTACCTAGTGAGATGCCAGACCTGGGTACATCCAAACACCGCTCATCCCGCGCTTGCACGGCCTGTCGGGCCAAGCATGTTCGATGCGACGCGGCTCTACCCCAATGCACTCGGTGCCTCAAGGAGGACAAAGACTGTGTATATGTCAAGTCGCGACGGGGAGGTGGTCGTCGGGTCTTGAGCACGCTTACTCCGACGATGAATGGGGCGAAAATAGATCACGGATCGCTTACGTCGATACTGCCAATCTTAACTCAGGCGGAGCCCAGGGAAATGAACTCAGGCGTCGATCTGACTACCCCAGTAGCGGATTGGAGCGATCCTGTGGATGACCAGCTACTCTCATTGTATTATCGGTACTTTCATAATGCGCATCCATGCGCAGTACCTCGATTTTCAATCCAGCGTTATGCGGACAGCGACCGCCAGGCAATACAGCCACTTTATGCGGTGATGAAGTACATCGGCTCCCTGCATAACGCATTAATCCCATCATCGCAATTGAAAGATCATGTTGAGGCAGAACTGGCTGTCGTACGGAGTACCAACTGTGTAGTCTCACCGTTCGCAGTGCAGGCGGTACTTCTCTACTCTATTGCAGTTTATTGGTGTGACGAAACGAGAAAAGGCCTGGAGCTGCTTGAGGAAGCCATCCGGATGGCCCTCGATCTTGGAATGAATCGATCTGACTTTCCCATGCAGCACGGGAGGAACGACCCGATCCTCGAGGAAAGCTGGCGACGGACTTGGTGGCAAATTTATATTACTGATGCGCATATTGCTGGAAGCACACACACGTATCCCTTCCGGACGACTGGGATACCTATGGATGTTCATTTGCCCTGCGAGGAGGAAGAGTATGAATCCGGGGTAGGCGGTCCTTCTTCTAGTATGTTACCACGGCTGAGGTCTTAGAATATTCCAAACCCACGAACGCTGGAAGAGTACGATATGCGAGAGTTTGCTGGTGATGAACGCGAGTTCTCTTCGTTTGCTGAGATGGTGGGATTGACTCGAAGCTTGGACTTGGCTCTCGCCTCGAGAAAAGACCTGGATATGAAGAACATCACTACCGTCTGTGCTAACGTCGATGTGATCCACGTCTCATGGACGTCACTTTTGCCGCCGTCAAAGAAGTCTGTTCTTAGACCCGACGGCTCCCTGGATGAGATTCTGTTCAAGGCACATGCTATTATTCACACGTGAGTCAATCTCCATTTGTTTGTGAGTCTCACTAATAATGCGTAGATGGATTGTCGACCTTCACCGGCAATTGTCAAACCTGGCCTATAGTGCCATCGAGGGTGTGTCATATTGTTGCCCGCAGGCGCCACCAGAGAGTCTCCTCCAGAGTAACCCGCCTGAAAGTGATCTTCATACGAGGAGAGTTCTCCACTCCATCGAGCGGTTCGAGTCCCTGTTGACCCTCCCAACAAACATCGTCAGCCACACTCCGTTCATTATCTGCATGATTGCCGTTGTGGCCATCGCCCACCTTTCCGCCTGCCGCTATGTCTTCAAGGGACAGGACTTGCGATTGAATCGAGAGCGGATCAGGGTGACTATGGGAACACTCAAGGCAATGGGAGAACACTGGTCTCTTGGCAAACGGACGTACCAGGAAATTAGTGTGATTGCACGAGAGATATTGTCACTGGATCGACCGTTGCCCTCTCCGTCTGCGTCGCGAGAACTACAGCATACCACAACGGGTGTATCCGAAGTAATGATGGACATTTCTGCATTTGCATCGGATGTGTCTGTTGAGCCGTTGGACTTTTGCGATTTGTTTGACATTGACTATCATGAGGCGACTATTCGGGACACCCTGGCTCATGATCTGGTCGTAGCTGAGTGCTGTATCTAAAACTGCTCAAAAGATTGATAGCTTTGGGTCTATTGACATCAAACGGCGTAGCAAGCTATACAGGCTATACCTCGATTCCTCTCATTTAATTGGCTCTGGCTAGTGATCAGGCAGTTGTAGCCCAAAGTACATGTCCTTTTGGTTATACCCTGCGAAAGCAACTGGTAGGACATATCAAACCGTCATTGATCCGAAGGTGAGTTAGATTGAAATGGACCAGAATTATCCGTCCGAAAGTTCGGCGTCGGACGTAAAATACATTTTTCGTCCGAAGGGCTACAGACCATTATCCTATTGCGGGAGATTCGGGTATCCGGGAACTCGGGGAATCACCAATACCCGGCTGGCCCTATACGAGATCGCAACGTCAAGATTATTTACGCTCTCTCTTCTGCCTATAAAATTAATTGTCTGTGAGTCATTGGCTGCTTGGCAGCCTTGATTATCATCTGAATTCCTATTTGACCGGCAATCCGGTTATAGTGACAGCTGAACTTACGTACTCTTTTAAGATTATATAAAGCGTCATATTCGTCTTGCCAGACCACCATCGACAATTGACAGTCGCACCTCGAAAATAGCGCCGAAAGGAGAAATCTGACTTTTACCAAAATGCCCCTCCCGAAAACAATGCGCGCCCTCCTCCAATCCTCCTTCGAGGAACCCCATCTGGTCCTCACACCAGACTACCCCGTCCCAACCGCCAGAGAAGGAACAGACGAGCACCTCATCCGCGTGCGCTGCGTTAGCCCATGCGCCAACGAACTCAACTGGGCCAAGTTTTTCCCTCCGCTCCAAGAACGCGAGCAAATCCCCTGCTACGATGTCGCGGGAACGGTAATCACCGCACCGACATCCTCCGACTTCCCACCCGGCGCAGAAGTCTACGCACGCTCAAACTATCTCCGACCCGGCTGCGCACGCGACTATGCCGTTATATCTGGCGCCGATCTCGCGCACAGTCCGCAGAACATGAGCTGGGCGGAGAGCGCCGCCATTCCGCTGAGTGCGCAGACGGCGCTGCAGGCGTTATTTGTGCAGTCTGGGATTGGGGAGCTGGGTGATGAGGCGTGGAAGGGGAAGAGGGTGCTTGTTACGGCTGCGTCTGGGGGTGTGGGGATCTGGGTGGTGCAGTTGGCGCGGCTGGCTGGTGCGACGGTTATTGGGACGTGTGGGCCGCGGAATGTCGAGTTTGTGAAGTCGTCGGGAGCAAGCGAGGTGATCAACTACCGGGAGAGGAATCTGAAGGAGTGGGGGGTGAGGCCAGAGAACCAGGTTGATCTGGTGGTTGATTGTATTGGCAAGAAGTCGTTGGAAGATGCGTGGTGGTGTGTCAAAGATGGTGGCATTCTGATCAGCATCTTTCAGCCTCCCGAGCAAGTGCAGCCTGAGGAGTGCAAGGGGAAGAATGTGCGGAATTTCTTCTTCATTGTGTCTGCGAACCGAGCAGATCTGGAAAAGGTCACGAAGCTGGTGGAGGAGGGCAAGTGTCGAGGTGTCGTGGACAGTGTTTGGCCGCTGGAGCAGTTCGAGGAGGTCTTTAAGCGACTGGATGAGGGACATGCCAGGGGAAAGATTATCTTGGATCTGTCCCTGAATCAGCAACTGAACTACATTTAGCTATCACGTTTCCGTCAAGAGGACGTTTTTTCAAGCATGTCCACTACGACCAATCTTCTTCTGATCGCTATGTTGAAAAGGCTTACCCGTCATTTATTTACCAAGGTCTTGAGGATGTATCAAAGTCTCGTCGCTGTCGTCACAACAAATATATCTGAAAAATGTATTGAGCGATGCCATAATATCGAACGCATTTTGAGAGCAGAGAAAAGACTGAACACAAGGCTTCGCGACAAGATTTTTGTACAACGGCTTGTCAACCTACATTATCCAATCCCACATACCAAACAGATGAGACAACCAGAGTGGCTACCATAAAGCAGACAGAGGTTTCATCCTCATGCATGAAACTACCCACCAGGTCAATAGAGTTGAACCAGACCGCACTCAATGCAAGCAGCATCTCCGTGACAAGCTTCACCCATTTTGGCAGCGGGTAGTACGCATAAACAGCCGACAAACATGCGCAAGCCATGGTCACAGCCACACAGCAGTAGGATTGGCGCCATGGAGACTCGGACTTTGATGAGATAGCTCTGCTTCCTCTCGCTACGATCTCATCGCCTTGGTATTGATATTGCAGGACTCGCGTGGCGAGAAGGTATTCCACCAGCACCGCCATGATGGGTAAGCGGAGGAAACTTTCAATGACGGGAATGTTATCTGGGTTGTTGTCGCGAAGGAGACGGACCACCAAACCGATCGCAGACGGCTCACCTGCCATACGAGCGAGATCAGACGTGGAGATCTCTAGTGACTCAGCGCCAATCGTGTACTGCGCAAACTCATGCTTATGCCAAATACCGACTAGACGGCCCTTTCCCTGATTGCGGAGCGTGAAGAGGGCACGGATACACAGCGAAAGCCCCACGATAACTGACAGCCAGAGCATTCCGTGGCCAACAACCCCCGAGGGTGCCAGTCTCTTTGCTTTCAGCCCGCCGTACAACCATCCTGCGATGACAAGGGCCATTTCCAGAGCAGGCATGGCAATGACTAACATAGTAGCCCACCACGGGAGGGAAGAAGCTAGAATGTCACCCGCCAACAAGGGCGATCCATCTGCCGTCTCGTACTGAAAAACAGCCTCATCAAGGCACAGCAACGATTGCAAGATATCGTTCCCGTTGACGTTCTTGCCCCCCATTGTCGCAAGGGTCGGCCGCACTGTCATGAACCAGACCGCAAGTCCACGCCCCGTCGCGGCAGCCATGAGCCCAACAGCACAGGCAACAAGCAGATGCACAAGGAGGTACATTCGCGTGGCGCAGACCATCCGCGCTCCACGGTCACTGCCGTAGGGACTCGTCCACTTCCGTAGCTTCAAGAACGGCGTGAGGTTATGGTCCACGCTGGTGAATATCCACCCCCATGAGAGTGTCGCCTCCGTAACCTGCAGTTCCTGTTGCTGCTCCTTAATATACGTACACCGTGACGCGCGCACATCCATCCTCGTCTCCATCTCTCGCACGATTTCCTCCGTCGTTGCCTGCGGCGACCGCTCCAGCATGTCCAGCGCGAAAGCAAGGTCCGCCTCCCGCAAGGGAAATAAATTCTCGTCCGTTTCTTTGACCTTTGCGCCGCAGAGGCTCTCGCTCCGAGGGCATTTAATCCAATGTACCGTGCTCTCCTGGGAGGGTTGGTCTTTCAGCTGACATCCCACCACGAGAACCTGCCAGTCCCGGCCGGCGGCGAACGTCTCTATCTGCATAGCTACCCGGCGGACTAAGCCCTGCAAATCCTCGGGGGTGCGCCAGCACACCACGGCGACATCTGTGCGGACTTTGTTGGTGACCCAACCCGCGTGTAGAAACCAGTTGCCGCGGGCGAGCGCGTTGGTCATAGACCGGATGCGAAGGGCCATACGGACACTCGAGAATAGAGCCGTTCCTGCGCTGGCGACCTTGCCGACATGCGCTGCTATGATGATGGCGCCCCAGAAGGCAATGATCTGGGAGGACCAGGCGGCGGTGGAGGAGACGACATATTGCGCGGACACGGGGAGCGACTGCAGTACCAGCACAAGAAGGTAAAAATTGCAATATGCCATCAAAATTGCTACATAGCTATGACTATGGAACAAGATGTGAATAAAAGGGGACCACAGCGACTTATAATTGCTATCTAATGCGAGGCTGGGGCGGAGCCGGGCCGCGGCTGCATATGGCGCTTCAAACGGGATAAAATAGCCGAATCCGAAGCTCACGAGGCTTTTCACCTCCAACGATCCCATTGTCAGTCGGAATTCAATTGGTAGAAAAATTTGTCAGTCATTGATCCGCCAACCTATTCTCCCACACACATCTCATATGGCTATATTCCCCTAGCTGCGGAACCATCTTACCACAAAGCTGCGGTGTCTCAAACAGGTACTTCTAGCATAATATTAAACAGCAGTGGTCATGACTTTGATGAGCAAAATAGCTAAAGTAGTTATGCGATACTTCAACAGAATCCAAGCGTGGATCCATCTATGAGAACTAATCTGTTGCTTCTGCCCGCGCACCGGGCTTTTGTAGTCAGAGAAAATGAACATATATCTGGGATAGAACGACGCCGACGAGTTGTCATTGGCTAGCCTGACGCAATAAGCCGGCGGGTTTGGGAGCACAGTAGCTTTGTATGAATAGTACTCATGATCGTGTAGTTTAAGCTATGCTAAGATCTAGCCTTGACCACCCTGATTTCTTGTTGGTCCTCTGTTGGTATCAGCCACGACAGATGCCCGGGGACTTAAAGTACAGACAATTCCAGCCCCGTGGCTAAACGTATCTTGCTCTGATTTGACTTATCACGAACAGGTCCTCCCCGTATTGTCCATTGCGGCAATGCTCAGTATTATACCTGAAGACCGCATAGGGACAAGATAATCCTATCTACGGCTTCTTCCGGATTAACATTTCCGTAGTAGACTAAATACCCACTTCCAAGCTGCGCTCCGGTCACTGCTGCCTGTATTTCGTCCTCGCTTTCCTCTTCGCGGATTCCCTGACGTGAGCCAAGCGACTCAGTCTCAGGATACGTAACTGGAACCAAGATCCTCTCATGGAGCCGAGCCCCCTTGACATGGAGGACCTTCGTGTAAGGTAGCGCAGGTAACGAAGACGACTTCACACCCTGAGGCAAGACACAGGATGGATTGACCTCAAAGTCATTGCGGGTATAATCGCCGTGTTTCCAAGGTAACCCAAAGCCAGAGGCAAAGAAGCTGTCCAAGACGTCCCATGTTACAAAGTTGGGAAAATGAAGGCCGATAATCGCAAGGCCACCATAATGGATGTATGTTTGTACTTTTCGGAGTACTTCATGGTGGCGGCAGTCAGTCAAGCCTTGGTCTGTGACGATAATGGCCTTGGGATTGTTGTCATCCAGATAGCGAAGTGCCGCGTTCGCCGTCTTCACACGCTTCACCCGGGCGGACTTGGCTAAGTTGTTGAGCAGTGATGAGTAGGTATCGTCCAGAAAGTCCAGGTAAGCGAGGGAAAGAAGGAGAATCTCTGGGCGGTTTTCGGTGGACATTGTTATCAAACTTGCTGGATGCCTTCGAAAAAAGGATCAGGGCGAATTGTGCGTGATAGAAGACGACAATATATCGACTGGCAAAAGAACAGAAGCTACTTACGTATATGTCTTGAGACCACGCAGACCGGTCTATAGCTTAGTTCCCTGAGGGAGGAGGTTTGAGACGCGTGTTTGGCGTCTGCTTTGCCATAAGATAAGGGAATAAGGGTGGATACGGCTGAGTAATCACAAATGTATCACACAGAGTTCCCTTTCGAGTCTAGCCTGGATGCCTCTCGCTGCCACCTTTATAAGGCCCTCCAGTATGGGGGACGGAACAGAGGTGATTGCAGTACGATGCACAGGACATGAATTTTGTCACCCTCAGACCCCATACTTTATTATCCGTGATACACATTTGTGCTATATGTAGCCCACAATAGCAATAAGTGTAAAGAACGAATACTTGCGCTAAAACCCAACAAGTACTGACCCAGGAAGCATTCCTTTAGCGGTGCATTCAATGCAATCATACACAATTCTTCCATCGAAATGAATTGACTGGCCGGCTAAAAACAGCGCCCAGGAAGGGTTGTCACAGACTGAGACGAAAGAGTGGAGGTCACCCCATTGGCCGACAGGTTTGTTATACTTTCTCGCCGCCCATCTTGAAGCGATGATGTTTACCACCTTGGTCGACGCTTCATGGCCGGGACAATTTTCTTGACCTTTGAGGCTCGAAACTATAGTGATCATTGCGTCTTTGACCCCAGCGGTACCTATGGAGCGCCCCCCGATACGCCCATGGAATAGGATTTCAGGCTCAGTTGCGAATGGGGAGCGCTCAATATTCAAATACAACGGCACATCTGCATATCTCTTGTCTGGCGGACCGATGTATGGTGTTGACAAGGATAAAGCTTGAATTGAGGTGTCGGATTCTCCACCTTCGGTCCTTAAGCTGTTGTCAATATAGAGGCGCATATCGCTCTCACTGCTGCTGATAATCGCACCGTTAGGCCGTACTGCCGTATTTGCGCAGAATCCTTCATAGCAACCCAACAATGGTGTCTTTGAGGCGGGATCCATATCCACAATCAATGCAGGCTGGACCGTGTATATTCCATTTCTCCAGCCGACAAGCTCGTCCTTAAAATTGATCTTTTCGCTCAGTAAGGGATCACAACCAGCATGGACGGCGGCTAATAAGAAGACTGCTCGGCTAAGCTCAAGTCTGGCCGAGAAAATGTCATCAACCATAGGACAAAGGATGTGCTGCCAGAAGCTGCTCTCGAGGTCAAGGTAAATGCAGTGCCGGAGATTATTGAAATCTTCACCAGCCAAGACTGAGGCTACGGCGATAACGATGGATACTGTAATCACACGGAAAGTTGCCAGGTCTCTCTGTTGCTGCACATTGGTGTAATCAAAGCTTTGTCGAAGAATGTTTTCCAAGCTTTCCGGGTTCGACAGTCGCTCATCGCAAATCCCAAATACTTCGGCAGACTGCGGGAAAAAGAGCGAAGCTAATCTCACAGAAATAGGGGACGGTTTGGTCTCCTGGTAGGTCCAGACTGCTTTTGCCAGCAGTTTTTTGGTTCCTCCACGGTTGTGCAAAGGCGACCGGTCGCTTCTAATGCCACGAAACCTTTCATATTCTGATGGAGTCTGAACGATCCAGGTGAGATGTAGCTGAGACCTGATACACGAATGAGTGTATTCAAAGAAAGTCGGGAAAACCTCGGGTGGGATATTGACTTTGTTTCTGAAGGCATTTGAGAACATGGCACCTGCGGTGCTGAAATGGTAATGATGAGTGTAAGTCGGCATGACACAGCTGTCCTGTTCCTCGAGAAAAGGATCGGTATCCCAAGAGCCCCCTGTGACTAGGACGACTGAGTTGGACCCAAAAGCCCGCGGTCGAGCTCCAGAGCCATCCCACACTTGAATTTCACCGATGCGATACCCAACCGCCTTCATACAAGCAGCGACATGTACCACCATGATACTTCTGGTAAAGTATGTTTCTTTCCCGGGAAGCGTAACCCATCGTAAGAAGCTGTTGACGTAGTGCATATCAGTGATGGCCGCACTTTCGTCTATTGTAGACTCCCGCTCATTTGTGTGCTGAGACGGATTCCAGTACGGTAGATTCAACTGATCAACCGCAGCTGTAAATATTTCAGTCAAGCCTCTCGTGGCTCCCTCATTCAAAATCTTCGCTTTGTTGTGGATCAATTGCAGATGTAAGCTTTCGTATGCTTCTTGCAACTTCAAAAGAGTAGGGGCCAAGAACTGCATAAAAAGCTCGACAGCATTTGCACCCCCGCACACATGGGCAATTGCACAGATAGATAACCCTACTAGCTGCGTAGGGAAGTCTTCACTAAAAGGTGGATTTGAGTCGTCTAAGCACACCTTGCACCCATCGCTCGTAAACAAGCAGTATACTGCCGGTCCTACCTGAATAGATGCCGCAAGCTTTTTGGCCGCTTCTTCGGCGAAAGCTCCGTGTAAATTGGTCAGTATACTGCTCACGACGCGTAAACCACCTACCCAGCCCCAAGCAGACTGTGCTAAAGACAAGGTGGACATGATATCTGGCATTCCTATCTGCAGCTGCTGCAGCGAACCCCTTTGGGCGCGGAATACGAGAGTCATTGTAACTGGGCTCAGATTAGAAAACTGAGAAAGAGATTTCGCAACTGGAGGGACGGAGAAAAATGATTAAGTGATGTTCTGAGAGCTGCCTGCTTTTCTACTTCTAGAGGGGCAGTGCTTAAATGCTCAGCCCTAACATGCGTAACACTGGCAGGACTAATTAATTCTAGGAGTGGTCTTGCCGCCGTTCTACGAGCAGCATGATATCTGAGAGACACAGAGGAAAATTGAACTACTGTGACTAACCATGCTTTCTTCTGCTTAAGATTGTGACTTATGATGAAAGCCACTTGAGAAACGCGAGGACTAACTGATGATGGAATAAGAGAGCATAGAAGACATAGATAACCATGGGGGAATAATGATTATCATTTATAGCCTTATTAGCCAGTAATCTTTCTTTTCATAATAGATAATCTGCTTGTTTCTCTTTCTGTGCTAGAATTAGCCTTTCTGCATTAATATAGACATATACTAGCCACCAAGGAATCCAACATTCCTGTTTCAACTAGTTGATCAGTAAATCATTCAGAATCGAAAGTTTACCAGTGAAGACAGTAGTCAAGGTATATCTACTATGCAGCTGGCCTGCTAGAGGCATCACCGATGTATCCCAAAGACTGAAAGTCTGGCAAACTCCGCCGCCCCTCGGGCCACAACATACTCATCAGCTCCACCCAGGATCTGTGGAACACTGCCAAATTCCTGAATAAAGACCTTCTCTACAACCAACCTGAATGTCTTGTCGGCCGCGCTCTCACCAAAGAGGACAACCCGATCAGACATTCGAGAGCCGGGATACTTTCGTTTCCATTCCATCAGTCTCAAGGCCAGCCAATCCCAGTAGCCCTCCTCATGTCGCGATGCATAACCCAACGTCCACTGATCCTCATCATCCCAGAACCCAAGCACAATGTGAGCAGACTTGACTGTGGTTCGAAGCACCTTGACTGCGTCCTCTGTATATAGGATGGAGATGACACTAGCCAGGGGCATTGCATCAATCTCTGACTCACACGCCTCGTAGTCTCGATAATCGGAGCAGAGAAAATGGCCATAACCCGCTAACGGTGCCCCAGTATCCCGCACCCATGCCCATGAGCGCTTCTGGTGAATGTCTTCGGGGAATGGAAGATTGAGGTACTCAAATGCGTCGTGGATGTCTTCGTCGTAGAGCGCGATAAGATGAGGGGTAGAGATGACGATGGGTAGTATTGCCAGGGGCACTGACAGCACATCTTCCACTTGGACTTTGAGCTCTCGAATCATGACGGCTACGGCCCCAACGTCCCCTAACGCGGGGTGTCCTAGCCATTTGCGCAGAGAGCGAAGTTTTCTGCGAGGAAGGTCTTGAAATTGCTCAGGCGGTTTGACATACGGGGGACTAGGTCAACTTGATTAGCTAGTATCATACTATGTCATTCGCAGCAGAGATAGACAGACTGGAGGTGTGTGGATGAGTGCAATGATAACCGCCGAATGACCTCCTCATACTGGGATGACCCTTCGACCCTTCCGATATTAATCATCGTCCCGTTGGGAAAGCTTACAGCGGCTGTCCTGAGAGGTGTCATACTCTATTAGGTTCTATAATTTACTCACTTAATAGGGAAGGAATCAATACCCATAGAATCCCGTCAAGTCTATCCCGATCCCCGCCACCTCTGTCGACATTGGGGGACTGGGCTCGACGTGGTTGGCGTCATTTTTGGACCATAGATGGAAATGGTTGCCCAGGACCAGGAAGAATAGGACGGAGGTGATGGCTATAAATGTAGGAGTGGGCTGAAATCTCCAAGTTGGCGCCGTGATATGCGGACTGCAAGTTGAAAGTGGAAGAGTGAAGCTGCACCTGCCGCAGGCGGCGATACTAGATATAAATGATAATATGACCATCCTGTGTGGTTGGAGCAGCTAAGGTGCCGCGCTAACTGGACCAACCCCGCCTCTGAGTTAGAGATCCTGAACACGCTAGAAACAGAAAATCGTAGTCTGGAAGAGGTTCATGGTTAGAAGAGATCTCCGGATCAGAAGCTTGCACTGACTGTTCGACACTAGTCCCTGCAACTTTTTATTGAGCTGCATGGGATATGAGTTATTGGATCTTAGGCAACCGCTGGTAATGCTGTCGAGATAATGCCCCGCTCCAGGACCAGCACTGAAGGAATCCCCAAACGAAACCCTGAGAGACATCAGCATTTTGCAAGCGCGAGTTTAATATATGGTGGGAACAAAAAGCCATACCACCCAGTGGGCACCAGACTCCCCGAGGACCCTGTCATCCACTAGAGTAAGCACCTGAGGGGCAGTACCCGTGGCTTCACGTCCATGCACATAATCCACTGTCTGGGCCGATAATCGAAGAACCAACCACATCCGTAGTGGTGATGACTCTACTAAGGCCCCAGTGGAAGTGCAGGTACAATTGTGAATAGGGCAGTATCCATAGTTGCAAGCAAAGCTGCAAAGGCCTGCAAAACCACCATCACCATGACCCCTAGTGCAGGCGGGCGGATTGAATGGCGACGTCGTGGGAACATAAGGGGGGACTTCGATTGTGCTGCAGGCACTGGAGGGACAGTAGCCATAATTGCAAGCGAAGCTGCAGTGGCCCGCATAGTTAGCATCACAATTTGCTGGATAGCCAGTCACTCCTGTCGCATTCGGTAGTGTCAACTGCTGTCCCATATTCGTACAAACACATGCCCCAACCGGACACTCAATGCGTTACAGAAATTAGCACAAAATAAAGCAGTCATAGAGGGAGATAAAATAGTAGCATACATATCCATATTTACAGGTAAACTCACAGAGCCCTTCAAAGTTGCCCACACCACAGTCCTGTACACAGACTTGTTTGCTCAGCGAGAGGGTTGGGGGAATCGTGCTGGTCAGCGTGGATGTTGCAGAGCCGACCCAGACATTCCAATTGGTAATGTCATTTGTGCAGGTCGTAGAGATATCGTGCGACGGGTTATATGATATGAAAACACCAGAGTCACGCAGCAGCTGCATCGTGAAGGACCCAGTTTCTCCATATAAGGCCATACTTGCATGGTAGATGCCCACTCCGCCCTTCTGGGGTGTAATCCCAGTCGACGCCGTGTTCCCCTACTCCATAGTTGATCGTCAAGTAGGCCGACTCACTGAGCAGGGCAGAAAGGAAAACACAATCATCCACAATATCCACTGGTCGGTACTCGATCTGGAGTTGGCTTGCAGTGTTTGCTGTCGTTCCGCTATTACCACACGCGCTTGCCAATGTCGGGCGATACCAGGTCACAAGGACTTCCGTATCGAACGTTGCATGCCCATTTTTATAGGTGTCAATCATGTAGGGAAGGAGTTGGCGCCAACCATCATGTGGCATGTTTTCCACGTAGTTATATGGTGCGTTCCCAATCTTGAAGGCACTGTATTGGGTGTCATCGAGTGGCCCAATATAGTGAGATTCTCCAAAGTCGTTCCATGAAATAGTCTTGACGAACTCCGGTTGGAAATACCAGACCTGCTGCCAGCGATCATACCATAGGTCATCGCTGCGCCACAACCAGGTCTTGTTATATCCCGGCAAGTTTGTGAAGAACCATGGGTAGACTGGCATCATGTACGGCTTGCCGTTCAGGGTCTGGTTATACAACGCGTCCACGTAGGTGGTCATGTTCCAAGACCCCCACGCCCATGCCGCCCAGCCTAGGTAGAGAGCATATTTAGTTTGACTGAACCCGCAATGGCACGACACATCAAAGCCTTCTACTGTCTACCAGTACTCACTGAAAAGTCCGTCTGCAATTCCCCCTCCAAGCTTGAGCGCCGCTTCAGCACCTCGAGAGGACCAGTCTGGCATGAAGAAGCAACCCGTCTCTGCTTTGATACTGATCCAGTCATTTGCATTATCGGTGCCTTCAAACGTTGACACAAAATTGGCACAATTATAATGATAGTAGGCGCCGTTCGAAGCGTATATTCGAATAAGGTTATAAACATCAGCGCTGCTAACCCTCATTTGCCACAACTACATACTAGGAGCTCTGTCCAGTCAACTGTCAACAATGATATTGGCTCCAGCTCCTGTTAGAGGATGGTCTAAATATTCTGTTTGTCTAGACATACACACCATGCAATGTGTATCAGAAGACCCAGGAGCAAATCAAAGATCTCTCCTTTAAATACCACGTGGTCGCTAATCACACTTTTTACTTGCTCCTCTAGTACATGCTGCAAAGGCATGTTATCGTACAAGGCTGCTGCACCACTAGCTTGAGAATTACTAAGACAATATGACACAAAGACTTCTAATTATAATTATTCTATATATTATAGTATGTTAAAATATTTCAGTACAACAGTGGTATACCGCTGCAACACCGGAATTGTTATAGCTTCTGGGTAAGAGCAGTAAATCTCACCTCAAGCGCCCCCAAATCAAAGGTCGAAAGCACGTTGTTCAAGAAGGTTGCACCAAGGATATATTCGCCCCCACCATCCTGGAATCCGAGTGCACAGAGTCCCGTAGACCCATCAACTTGAGGCTGCAGGATCAGGTCGGCGGGACTAACAGGGAAACTCACACCGCTGATAGTGATTGCGAGTTTGGGCGCTGTGGCATTGCAGGGAACTTCATAGAGGCCGGCAGCCGCGACGTAGGTAGCAGGGGGCTTGAAGGCGCCGGCAATAGCAGTGGCAAGGGCTATTAGAAGCAGGAAAGGTCAGGTATGAGCGGACTGGGATGAGAGTCTTGGGGCTTACCGGTAGGTAGCAAGGTGAGGGTGGTAGCGGTATCCACAAAGCCAACGAAGGGGGGAAACGAGGTGGAGTTGGACAATGTGGAATTGGATCTTCCAATGATAGCGCCGTCGATGTTGATGTAATAGTAATCGGGTCGGTTGATGGAAGGCTTTGAGCGGGTTTCCTTGCTCTGGAATGAATAGATCTCGCGCAGTTAGTCAATGATCCATCTCCTCTCTCCCTAAATTGGGACTACCCACGGTAAGGATCGACGCAGAGGCGGTTTTCCCCGTCGTGTTGACAGGGGGAATGCCACCAACGGCAAAGTATCCGTTGGGCCCACTCCGATCAGGAGCAAAGCTGAAGGTAGGCAAGCTCAAGTGCTGGTCAACCATTTTATAGAAGACAGGCTCGTAGGTCATATAGTGAGTCTTGATATTCTTGGTCGGGTCGTTGCCAGGGAATTCGCTGGTCAGGGACGCGAAAGCCAATCCGAACAAGCCGCTGACATTAAAATTGAAGTATGCTTGATCAACAACTGCCACCTGGGCATCCTTGACTGTGATATTGGCAATGGTGATGTCTTCCCAGCCGAATTTGCCGGCCAGAATTCCTGTACCATAGGTGATGTTGAAATTCACATTCTCAATCTGACCTCCGGTGAAATCCCCGCTAAACTGAGGTCCAACTTGGCAATTGCTTTGCTGTGGCATATTAGGAACGACCTGACAACCAGCGGCCGAAGGACACTTACAATGGTGGGAGCTCCGGTGCTATCAAGGCACTGAAACCCTTCCTTAAGGATCCAGGTATCACTCGATCCGGTATCCAGTATCATGCTATATGTTTCGTTGCCCCATCCAACCTCAGCGACATAATTGACTTGACTAGGGTTGTTAATTGCCGTGAGGCCTCCATTGCTAGTGGATTGTCGACGGCGGAGGCCCTTCTGGTGACGCAGCACGCTGTGTACTGGCTTCAGTGGCACGACATTGTCCGTCACAAGGTCTAGGCCAGGTGCCCTTCTTTTAAGGGACTGATGGGATTTGCCTGAGTTTAACTCGGGGATTCTAGCGGCAGAAGAAACCGCCAATCCAAGCAACAGGGCTGCAGCCCACGATCCAACCATAATGGATATTTGATAGGGACAAGTCTGACAGGCGGGTAAATGCGTTGAGGATCGCAAGCTGGCCAAAAGTCTCGTTTGTATATGGGTTGAGCAATTTTCGAGGGGGCCATCATGGGCAGAAGATAAAAGGGGAAAGATGCCGCAGCTGAAAGGGAGTTTTCGAGGAGGGACCTTTGATAGGTTCCATGTTTACAAATAATATTAGAGACCTATCAAAATTGCGCCAATCCCTTCCTCCTTGGCCATAGTGAGCTGAGCTGTTCCTGGATCTTGAGGAACTTGTAGATCAGTGGCGCTTTAAGTTACGTATTTCCGAAGGAGTTCATGCGCTGGCGCAACCCTAGTGGCCCACTAGCTAAACAGTCCTGAGATTGCAGCTCATAATTCCGATTCCTAACTGCCTACGGTCCTACTCTCATCAAACTGCCTACTGTTTACAGAATTGCTCTGTCTACATGATGTCATGTGCTCTCCAACTTCATATTCTACCTTAATATTTGAATCTGAACGATACAATATGAAAATGTCCCTTAATATAGGAGAATACGCCTTAAACCAACATATTGTACCTTATACAGGTAAATGGAGATTGAAATACCTGGATCACATAATACGAAAGCACGCTGTACTGTATCAGGGGTTACCGAAGATTAACTAGGATTGTTCTGTTGATAAATTCCAAATGATCCAAAACTATTCCCTTTCTGCTAGAGCAGCTCCCTATAATAGCTGCATCCACAGTGAGACTGCTTTTATATCATATAGTAACCGTCCGCCTATCTAGGTATCCTTCATTATACCTAGCGGATTCCCTTTACTCTACATATCGTCTTGGAACTCCACACCTCTAACAAACACCTCCGACAAAGCCTCTAACCCCGCAACAAAAACACATAACGCAGAAGCAATAATAAACATGCTAATACTCTCTCCAATCTCCAGCCAGCTCCCCTTATCTCTTACTGCCCAGAAGAAGCGCAGAGTTATGTAGTCACCGATGCCCATGACAACCGTGAACAGACTCCCACCTTGAAGCCTCAGTCTCTTGGTCAGAAATCCAAGGTTGGCAGAAACCAGGGCGAAAGGAGCCAGAATCTTGAAGATGAGAAGAGCCGCCTGGCTGAAGGGATCGAAGATCGGAAGTAGCCGGTAGACAGCGTCCAGCGAGAATGAGGAGACCGAGACGATGTTTCCGGTGCTGAAGAAGGCGGAGTGCAGCAGGAAGAGGAAGAAGAGACAGACTCTTCCACAATAAGGTTCTCATCAATTGAAGTAGCGTGCCTGTGGGAGGAAATCCTGTTTTCCTGATTGCTGTTATAGCACGAAGTCATTGATCTGCTGAGGACCAATGTCCCTTGGTAGCATAGCCAACGGCGGCATATAGATAATCTTGGTCCAGATCCAGGTAGCTGTCCTTTCAAACTAAGCTGATATCCTCTGAGCTCTTTGCACCCTTCTCACATTGACTCTGTCATGCCACCTAGCTGAGCAGCAGCAATCTCATCTTGCAGGTAAACAATGAGTTTGTGACAGGGCAAGGCGTATGTACAATCGTACCTATATGCTTCGTCTCGTGCTTCCAGCCACAACTTGCGCGCCTTGAAGAGTAGTCTGAGCAGCACTCGAAGCATATCTCAAAGCCGATGCCGTAGACAATGCTAGTGAGAGACAGAAGGTCAAGAATACACCCAGCTAAATCCTCGTACAAAGACTTTGTGCCCTGAACGATCATCAGGGGTGCTCCATGACCGTCAAGGCATCTCCCAGTCATTGCGCATTGCTAGCAAATATTCTCATAGCCAGTAGTTGATGTCGATTCTCGCATGCAATATTGGATAATAATGTGAATCGATGTCGCGTATCGCATAAGTCATCCAGTTGGCGTTTCCAACGTCTAGCAACAGCTGCAAGGAGAAGAAACCAAAACAGTACTTACCCAGCGTAGCCCACCCAGCAATCTGTGTTCCCAGCGGAAGTCCCTGCTTCGTCTTCTAAAGAAGCCACACTCGACCTCGTAACAAGCATTGCAAGAGCAACTAGTCCGACCTGCAAACCATGAATCGCTCTCGACACACCATCGGCATCTGCTGCGCCCGGCCCATCTTTTGAGGGCGCAGTCTGTACTAATAGTCTCTTTTCAAACGCAATATACAAGAAACCGACTAGAAGGATTAGGATGCCACCGACAGAACTGAGATAGAGTCAGCTATAGGATAATATGTTGTATGGGCTCTCTACGTACATGAAGGTTATATCCTCCAATTCTTTAGCTGGTAGAAGAGTGAAGACGCTCATAGCAGCGCAGGAAAGTGCCCATGTAGTGCAGAGGAAAAAGTTTGTCTTGACGAAGTCTGTATCGTAAAGCAGTGGCCAAGCGGTAGCGGTCAGGTGGACAATCGTATAGACCCGTCGATTGTAGTAGCTTTGAACCTGTGAAACTCGTTAGCAGGCGTTGATTGTTGGAACTCGGGTACTCACCATGACTTCCAGCAATGCCAAATATGCAGCGATGTTCAATGCAAACTGAACTGTATCACTCTTCGAAAACTGCGAAAACAATTTTTTCTTGCCCTCCCTCGACCGCGCAAAAACCTCTTCCCAAAACAAGACTGGAAAGAAGGCGTACGCGTAGTATGTGATCGGTGATGCCTGTAAAATGAGCAGACTGTAAAGCCCGACCAGGATCGAGGCAAAAGTTATAATGAGTCCGGGTGGCCTCTGCACATCGATCTTGCCATCGAGCACGTAGACATCTACGGGTGTCGTGAAAGTGAATGCGATCCAGCCAAGATAGCCTGCTGTGACCAGTGTTCGCAGAAATAGCCACGCATAGGTCTGCAGGTACCTTAGGCCCTGCAAGGCAATCTTAATCAGCTCGTCAGATTGCTTCATTGAGGTCGTGTAATCTTGTTCCCGGATGAGTTCCTCAATGGATGCTAGACGATTCTCGATGATGGTAGTTGATAGTATTGATAACTCGACATCTCCATATTTTTCTGTCCATACTGTAAGACTCTTAAAGCGCGGATTATCCATGTAATTACCAAGTGTTGATTACGCGCCGAAACTGCCCTGGCCAATTCTCATCTTTCTGCTCATCCGTGGGACCGTGACCACAGGCGCAAGTCACTGCATCCATAAAACAGTCACCCGCCCCGCCTCACTTCTGTAACAACCCCTTTACCACTTCATGTCAAGTTTCATCTCGCCTCTGGAAAAGGCCAAAACTTTATAGATGTTGCCCACTCTGGAAGATGCCCTTCGCAGTCGGGAAACTCTCCGTGTTCACCACATCGCGGCGATTGACGCGGAAGTTTTGGAACAAGGCTACAACGACGATAACACGTTCTGGCACAAAGTACGAATATCTGTCCAAAATTTGTCAACCCGATACTCCAGGTCCGGCCTTCCGATTGTTTTCTATGAGTATGACTTGCGCGAACTGTGGTATAAGTTGATCCAGGGTGCAAAAATCACGGACGCCAAACACCCCGCTCAAGACCGGCTGGCAGCCGAAGTTTTGCACGCGCGTGAAATGGGTACCCTGTCTCGCAAAATTGCGGTTCCAGTCCCAGGGTTACAAGGAGAAGGACCGAGACACTGGAATCAAGAAGAAGCCTTGACATCCGATGGCAGGATCTGGGCTGATCTGCCCTTTCTTGTCGAAGCAATATATGAACCTTGGAAAAATGCCCTAGAACTACCGGCACGCCAACGACGTAATCCTAGCGCTTTTATAGCCCGCCTTGCCTCCTGGGGCGTCCGGGATCCCGACTTGTGCTTGTGTGCTCTTTGGATCTTACGGGATGCGCTGGAGACCCCGAGACCATTGGTTTCAACTGCTACGAACTCCGAGAATGACCTACTGCCGATTGAAGACATGGTACCAGCAGCCGTGGTGTGGTTTGAGTTATGTGGCCACAAGATTGAAAGTCTTTGTCTTATGAACTATGATTTTGATGATTCGGCCATTGGTAGCCTTGCAAGGGACGATGGTGTCGATCCAACAACTGGATTCAGCATTTCGCGATGGCACTTCTGGAAAAGACGCTTAGATGAGCTCAGCACCTGCGGCCATGAAGAAACGGCAGCTTTTGCTCTTCGGGGTGCAGATTGTATGAAGTTTTGGGGCGAGAGGATCTCGAGCCTTGAACAAGGGCAAATTTGTCCAATAGCCCTCAGAGAAGGATAAGGGGTTACTCTTTCCCAGTGCGCGTGGAAGGGAATGCATGTTCCTCAGCTGTGAAAGTGGAGGACTGCACTACTTGTGTCTCCCTGCATGGAATTATTTGGCCTACAATTCTTGATATGTACCCTTCCTGCAAACATTGACGACACATCCTTAAAAGCGTCCTCGATCATCCTCGTAAACGTATGACGTAGGCCCATATCTCTCGACTTGTCGACCAAGACATGCACCATCGTCTCTGGTGCTCCACAGTCACACTTATTCTTCACGAAATCAGCGTAGTTCGGCATATGATGTCGACAATGGCCCATCCGCAGTTCTATGGGAAGATAGGCCAGGTGCAGTGTCATATTACTGCAATGTGGTCATGCCTAATAGGGAAGTTTGTGCAATATTACCGTGCAACTACTGAATATTACTTACAAGCCGTGATGCTTACGTCCTGGTAGAAGGTAATTGGATAATTTATTAGACAGCTAAGACCCTTAAGAAGGTCAGCAGAAACAGACCTTTTGTGTGATGATTACAATGCTTATAGTGGCTTATAAGCTTATAGTCCTTACGGAGCTTACAGTAATTATGATGCTTATAATACTTGCGATCCTTACAGTGCGTACAGTGATTATGATGATCCAGTTCTTAGATACTTACTGTGCTTACCATATGTCAAACAACAGGTGTTGCTTTAATCCCTTGACATGTCCGGGGAAAAGGGCTCAACCATTTTCAAAAAGACAGGACATCTACATATATATATGTATATATTAAGTGCACCCGTATCATCTATATATGTAAATGTCCTAGCCGCTCTAGTTCACATTAAGATGCTTGTACAAATCGGTTCTTGGAGCGGGCCAGGATACATCTCTCAGATCTAAAACAATTATGCTCGCTCAGGTTTCAGCATCTCAAGATCGGAATCCACTTTGTAACCCCCCTGCGTGTGCGACAATAGCTTGCTCGGGTGGGATGCAATAAGGATAATACAGCAGGCAAACATCAGTCCCGCATCAAAAACATAAATAAAGACCTCCTTGCTCTGAAGATACCCGTCGCTTCCTTGCACATATTCGGCCACACGATAGACAGACCGAATCATAATGAGAACGCTAACGGTGTAAAGAATCCTCATGTAGTGGTTCCATGGCAGCTCTGCGGACATCATGTGATGCATGGGTGTTGCAAGCATACGGCGATGGAAAATCACCGAGACGATCATGAAAAAGCCGAAGAACAGAATCTGAACAAACAGACCACCGATGATCATATATTCTCCCATGTTGACTTTGTCCTGGGTTTTGGCAGCCGCGAGCAAGCCACCACCTGCCCACCAATGCATCAGCTATGGTGTTGGATTGATATTTGGTACACGCTTGGAATCACTGCATACCTCCGCACTGCATCAGAAATGAAATAACGTCACCCATCACAAAGACCTTGGTCAGCCAATTCGTGCGAACCCGCATCCAGCAGTCGAATAATCCGGCCCAGGATCATGTACACAGACGCGGCGAACAGCGCTGGAGCAAGGAGAAGCAGCAAGCTCTGCCCTATATACGGCTTTGTCGTCCAGTTTGGGGTCTGCTTTGCACTGATGTATCTGCAGAGGTAGCCAATAGCCTCGACTACGATGAGCAATTGTGTCAGCCTGTGTAAGCCATACCCCGGACACTAGCCTCACATCTAGTATCATCAATCTCGACCACGCAAGGAGGGAACTACACACAAAAGCCACCTATAATGAAGGCAGTCATGAACCAAGCCCTTGTCTTTGCCATCTGCCATATATGGACAACTGTGGTTAACCCGAAAATTGCGGCAAACGTAACAGCCGCACCTGCGGAAGGAGCGTAGTGGTAAAGCTTGAATGCCATGACCTGGATAGCAAAGGGAAACGGACGCAGCTGCAGTAGTTAGAACACGGATTGGGAGGAGTCTGGAGTGAAATCCTGGGTCAGACAGCTTACTGTCTTTCAAATTTGAATTAATCGTTGAAGAAAGAAAGGGTGGACATGGAGAACAAATATAACCAGTGAAAGTCATCCAGTGCTCCGGCTGCTCCTGCTGCTCCACTCCAGCTACTACGTATCTGATTGATGGTAGCTAGCTGGCATTCTTGAATTTGTCATGTTGGTCTGGATGCCGTAGAAACAAAGTTCATCAAGGTACTTCGTACAATTTGCCAGCTTGAACATCTTTAAACCCCCCCTGAAACATCACTTTGTCATAGAGCGTAGCTAGCTAGGTGACCCGAATCGGTCATTGGTACGAACTACGAGCAGCGGATCTCAGCTTTCCACCTCAACTGGGCTAATGTAAATTAGGAACCTCTATAAGTTGCTACAGAGACTGTCCAGTCTATAAGGTCTGTTGTGGATCCAAGAAGCTCTTTCCTGTGTGCCCCATTAAGGTGAAGTGTCCATTGAGCTTCCGGATCCATCTCCCTCAGAGGACAAGAAAAAAGAGGGAAGAGCAGGGAAAAAATGGTAGAAAAAGATTTCGCCCGTAGTTTAGGGTTTACGACCAACATCAACTCATAGGGAGTAAATTTGCAGAAGGATCTTGCATTATCGGTAAGCCAACACTGCTTGGGCAATACTAATGCTGGTCTCCGGCTGTACATTGCAGGATCATAGGCAGATCCTTTTATGAGCACATCGTGCCTGGATGTGCCCAGAAAAAGCCTCATATGGCTGAAACTCGCAGTGCTCAACTACGATTTTCGCGTCTGCCCACCGATGGTATGGACCAACATGCCCAAGAAGGTGAACAGTACGAATACGAAAACCCATTATGGTTGCTGATCTGGTGGGTCAGAGGCATCGGATTGGCTCCACTTAGATTGCCTTTGGGACTCCAAGACATTTATTTCCGATGGCTAGCATTACGTACTATTTTAAGCGTCCCGAACACCTCCGATAGATTAGTGGCATGATAATCCTTAACCATCACCTCATCTCTACTTCCCATCTGAATGCAAGGAGAATACACTCTTCGCATGCGATTTACCTTGTACTATTACGCAGTGATCCATATCTGCCCAGAGAGCATATGCTTATGATTGATAGCGACTGGTGAAAAGGTGAAACGGAAACCCATGTACAATTGTGAGCGGGCCTATTAATGCCAGATAATAACACAGCAACTATCCGGCATTATACTCCAACACTATCCCCATCAACTTGAGTCATCTCTGGGCTTGATCCACGTCCAACATATCCATTCATCACAGCCTGTGAAAACTCGGCATCTGGCATCATCCCATCTGTCAGTTCCTCCAAGGACTTGATGCGTCCGTCCTTGTCTCGGACATCAGGGATGAAGAAATATGTGATGAGTAGGCCCATGAGCATGAATAAAGATAGACTAGCCGCTTGTCAGTGGAAATCACCACAAATCCTATCTGAAAGGAGCCTACCAGAGAAGAGCATATCCCAACCAATCCGGTACGTTGGTATAGTCCGCCCCGTTCCCGAAATCCACATATGCCAGGAAACACTGCGCAAGGACCGAGCCGAGTTTGCCAAAGGCGGCCGCGATGCCGTGGCAGGTGCAGCGGAATCGAGTTGGAAAGAGTTCAGCGGGGAGCTGACGGTCAGCTTATTTCCTGAATGCGAGGGTTGGGAGACTTACCATATATGTTGTTGCGTTGGGTCCTAGGTAGCATGTTAGCAAGGTCAGGGACATGGTGCAAGGATATACTCACCAAAGTTGAAAAATATCTGGCAGATAATATACAACACCACCAATGCCGATGGGTCATCTTGTTTCACCAGATGCTGAAACGAAGCGCCAATAACCACATTCAGTAAAAATAGCCAGAAGAATCCGTTCAGCTGGATATTGCGCCGACCCAGTTTATCGATCGCCAGGATTGACAGCAGATTACCCACGATAGCGCCAGAGGAAACAACAACAATACTCTGCCACGCTGTCTGAAAAAGTAGCTGATACAAACTAGTCCGGGGCAGCTTGCTTCCGAACCAGATGGTTCGCGTGAGCCGCGGACTGATGAGCCCTAGGCCGTAGAAGGGGAGGTCCAGACAGAACCAGCAGAGGGATGTGGCAGCCAGTTTCCTGAAGTTGTCCTTCTGCCTGAGGAAGACTTTGAAGTCTTTCCAAATTGCCAATGGGGAGGTGGCATCTTGTTCCGCAAATGGGACAGCAGAATCAGGCTGGTCGGGCTGTTGGTCTGCTGATTGGGTCGGCGATAGTCGGAATGAACCTGACTGCGGAGAGGGTGGTTCTACACTGTTCACTGATGCACTGTCAATGCTAACACGTTGGTAGAATTGCGATACGTCATTGACGGCCTGAAGACTGTCTTTGGTGACTTCTGCTGTATAGCGAGGGGACTCGATGATCGTCAGTCGGAACCACAATGCGATAAAGGCAGGCACTGCTCCTAGTCCGACAAGCAGCCGCCAGATGGTGTCAAGACTTCGGATACAGTTTCCTGTACATGTGGTCGTATTAGGGTCGGTGGGGAGACGGTGTTTGAAGCCCGCCACCGCGACGAGAGCAACCAGTTGCGCAGCGAGCTGTCCGAGGGACTGACAAAAGAAGACCGTTGCAAGTAGTCGCCCACGTAGTCGAGTGGGCGCAAACCTGAGATCATCAGCTACGCTCACGAGATGCCGAAAAGGATCTTACTCAGAACAAATGACTGCTGACAGAGGATAATCCCCACCCAAACCAATACCGAGCAGTCCACGCCAAAATAAGAAAAGGGCGATAGCAGACATGGAGTTCTCGGCCCCGGAAGACGATAATGCCAGTCCCAGAGTGGCGAAGATCAGAATAACCAACTCCATGCCGTACATCTTGCTTCGTCCCCAGATGTCCGCAGCGACGCCAAAGGCGATCTGGCCAAGAAGAACACCGCCTAGAGTGACTATACTGAGAGCCACCTCATAGTCATGTCGGACTGCATTGGGCTCGTTCCAGTTCGAATGGTTCCAATAGACAATGTTCATCATGGGTAGAACCATGTTTACAGAGAAGATCTGCAAAGTCAGTTCATGAATCCTGTCCGATGGTGCCGTCACGTACACCGTATGCATCAGTGAAGAAGCCGAGACCTGCGACGACCACGATCCACATCCATTCCCGTCGTCGAGCGCTTTCAAGTCTACCGATGATGTAGGCATGTCTTTGAGCGGGCTACTCTTACGGTTAGCAACTGATTCATGGCTAAGCTTTTGTATCCATGGATCCTCACCGTATGGTGCCGGAAGTCCTGATATTCCTTCCATGGGTAGAATCGCAGTCCCAGAGCGGCTAAGCGGGGATATCGCATATTGCGGGATAGTGTATTAACTTAGGGACTGAATCAGGATTCAAGAAAGCAAAGACACAATGACTTATCCGCTGCCGACTGGCAGCCATCCTGCTCCTAAATCATTATCAAGACAGGGCTGACGACCCTTTTCCAGAGTCAGAGAGCTGAGCTCATACTTTTGGAAGGAGTTCGCCCAGGCAAAAATACGAACGACGGGCAACAGCCACACAATCTCCCCTATCAAAATCCAGGGGCGGAGTCGACTTGAATGTGCCCTGTGGACCACGAGGCCGGCATCCCTGCACAGACCCGAGACATTTGTCAAACTGCAACTCGAGACGATAGGCTAGATATTAACGACTGAATTGAAATTGCCGAAGGTCTTCGCCAAAGACACCGTTGGAAGGATGCACGTTGTGTCGACGACGGCGGCTATTGGACCGGGAGTACGAAGCCATCGATCCTACTCCGTAGTCTAGACTCTAGTCCCCTTGGCGCCACCACGTGTGATGGATGATTGTGTATATGATGAATGCCCTTCACTGCCACAAAGCGCCCATTGACATGCTGCTGACGAGACATGTATTCTTTCGCCACCCGTGGGAGGCAGGCGTATTTTGAGCCGCCAGCCTGTCAGTGCTTGGGCAAGGCTATCAGAAAGGGTGGGGACCAGTTCGCGTGTCGTTTCTCCCCCTGGCCCATGCTCCGTCTTCGAGTTCCACTTTAGATGATCCACGGATGTAACCTGATCCTCTTCGGCATTACTACCTTGTGAAAGTCTGAGCTATTGTTTAACTATCGACGTTATACGGGATGAGCTTCGGCTGGAGCGCCGGAGATGTGTTACAAGCCGCCAAGATCGCCTGGGATGTCTACAAGTGTATCGCTGACGGGACTCAAAATGCCAAGGTTGATTTCACACAGTTCAAAGCAGAGTTCGAGTTGATGAGAGCAACCATCGAAGAGTTACAAGAGGCAGAGAAAGATGTCCCAGTCTCCAAGAGGGTCGCCCTTGGTCAGTCGTATCAGCAGACTATCATCGAATGCACCGAATTCGT